AAAAGCAAAACTAAACACACCATTACGGACATATACATATGATCTGATATGTATGCTGCTCACAAACATTATGACATTTGTGAGCAGTGTGGAGAAGCAAAATTAGAGTATGGAAGATCATGGATAAATAAAACAAACCTGAAGTGGGGTGCCCGTAATAAGAAGGCGATAATTGGCATGATAAAGTCTCATTGTCTTCGACAGAAGAGAATTCTCATTCTTTATCCGATGTGCCTCATCAATAATAACATAGCGCCAACTGAAGCGTCTCAAAGCAGTTTTCTCTTTGATGGCCATTTCAAAACTTGTAACACATACATCAAACTTCCCAGCAACCAGTAAGTCTTCGCGTATATGTTTCTGCAGGTGTTCAAAGATTTGTAAATTTATTTGCATGTCCTTCTAAATAGTTAGAACATCATATATAAAAAAGAAGTAAAATGTATAAATATAGTCCTGACCCTTTCATCTTGATTTCCCAAAAGCTTTACAGTACGCAGCACGGGACAGAATCGTCGAATTTCCTTCATCCAGTTGCCAAGAGTGGATTTTGGTGCCACCACCATGTGAGGCCCTGTAATTCCTCTGAATTCATGTAAATAGCCCAACAGAGAGATGGTTTGCAACGTTTTCCCAAGACCCTGAAGAAAAAAATATTTTGACGAAGGCACATAACAAAATGAGCATCCCGGGTAGAAACATCAAAAGAAACAAAAGCAAGATGCGTTTAATGAATTTTAAGGATGTATGCTAATATCAAACACATGTCGAGCATATAAGTAATAAATAGAAAGGCACATATGTGTTTTTCATATGCTTAGGCAGTTGAAATCAAATCTATTAACATTGTCAAAAGTTACTTATCGAAGGAACATTACATTAAAAGCAATTAACTACTGAACAAAACCAAAAAGGTGTATAAAAGTACTGTTAAAGGCCGATCGTACAGTATTATAACTAGCAAAAGAAAACCATACAGTATTCTAAAAACTAAGGCAACAATAAAATAAAACTGGGTGGAAATCCTTTTATTTTAACAAAATTCAATATGGAAGATTATTTTTATAAAGACAATCAAAATCCAACAAATTCTCAAGGTGGTATGAAGGGAAGTAAAAATTAAGAACTACAGAACTATACCATTTCATCAGCTAAAATCCCATTAATTCCATTTTCATATAACCGAATTAGCCAATTCAGCCCAGCTAGTTGGTAATCCCTCATTTTCCCTTGTATACCTGCAAAAATAACAGGAGGAAACTTAATCAAATCTGTTTAGATACCTAGAAAAAGTAATATTAATCAAACAAAATAAGGATGTAGGGATTGCATGTTTAATCTCAAAATCAGTAGATTGCATAAAATTGATCAAAATCATTGGTAGTATTCAAACGTGTGCCTATGTGTGAGAGCTAATGGTGCAAAAGAAGCCACCTAGGATCCTGGGGCTTAAACCACTTTACAAATGAACTGCATCAGTTTAGTACATCATTTTGACTCATTAATAGCACGCATTTGATCCTCAACAAAATTAATATGTATATACGCATATATGTTTGTATATAATAGGACAAAGATAGATTGATAGACAGATAGATATGAAGGAATGTTTAATATTAGACAGCAACGTTACAAAGTAGTATCCTACTTTATGCTAATATCTGAAAAGACTAATTACAAACAAATGGTCCTAAAATCTCCCGTGTATTTTCAACCCTACACTGGATTTTCTTTCACAGAACCGAATTATCTAATGTTTCATGCCGCTACTACTTTGGAATAAACATGCAGTTATTGTACTTTAACTTGTAATGACAGTGGTACAGAAAACGCTAGTCGGCCTAGGTGTTGGACCCAATGTCTAAAGTCTAGGCGGGATCTAGGCGATTTTCCTTTTTTTATTGTTAAATTACAACAATTGATAATAAATGTTAATGTTATAAAATGTGTGGGCGTCGGACTGCCTAGGCAGATTTCTTTTTCTTCATTTAAGGGGTGGTGGAGGTTTTGTTGAAGGTCGAAGGAGGTAGAGAAGGTGTTCATAGTTTGGAGGCGCAGGAGTTTAGAGGACATGAAGGCTACAACGAAGGCAATCAAGGTCTATAAAGCAGTTCACGCTCCCCTAGGTGCTCCCAAAATCTAGGCAGCTAGCCTAGGTACTGCCTGGTCCTAAACGGACGCCTAGACAGGCTAGACAGAGACTTTTTAAATCATTGACTAACGACAATTCTATTTCTGCCGTAACTTTTACCTTTACTATAAATTATTTTAATATTATTATTTTTTATTTTTTAATGTCTATTATTAGTTTCTTATAGCTGTACATTATACTTTTTATGTTAGAAATTTATTGTTTGCTAATTCTTATCAATTGTTGATTTAATCGGCATTGATGTTACACATGGTTATTATTATCAGACAATATATTCTTAGATAACTATTATAAATTGCTTGTTTTATTTATAAAAATATTACTTATGAAGACAGCGATGATAATTATGTCCAATAATGGCTCACTTCTAGTTATAAATTTCTACTATAGAAATAACCGCAAGAAAACAAGCTTCTAGATATCAATTATGCTTTCGGACTTTGCAAGGAGTGATTAGAAGACCACTGGAGAAACTTTACAAATAAACCTCATTATATGTTACTATGTTTTCATGCAATTTAGAGCTTAAGCAATTACTTAGGTGCTTAGGCTATTTGAGCAGCTAGTCCAACCAGCTACTTACTTTATTTCTTCTTTTTAAACATTACCGAGAATATTTACTATTAACTATGTTTCACTGTTTCACATTTTCTCTCATCGGTCTTATCGCACCTCTCCCCGTGACTGACTTTCATTGGTTGCCACAATGAACAGCTTTAGAGGCCCCAGGACAAATAAGGTGATATCCACGAGATGGCTTCAAGGCATACGGGCTTCAGCCCTGTAACCATGCTTCATACCTACTTAACGTTTGAAACTACTAAAAATTTAATTATGGCATATAAGCAAAGTTGGTTTCTCTTAATCATATTAACCATTTCCATTAGCAGCATTAGATGGGTCAGCCACGGAAAATACCAAAACATTTGTTTATTATGTTATTGTAAATACACCATGAAATTAGTGTCATTACAATAAATGTTCAGGACAAAAGAGGCATTCTTATTATCGTAAGCTAAGGCACAATATCAGTGCAGCATATGCTGTCAATTTTTTTGGCATGTG